GCTTTACCGGTCTCGGGCCTGTTCTCCGAACGCACACATAGATATAAAATGTAAATAGAGAACAATTTTTTTACAATTATTATGATAATTATATTTTAAGTTTTTTTAACTAATAATTAATCTTGATTACAAGAATGAGTTATTTTGATAAAATATAAATGTTATTAGTATTTATGTAATATAATAAAGTATTTGATGCTAATTTTGTATTTTAAGTGTTCTAGTAAATAATCAAATAAGATCTTAAAGAGAAAAGGTGGGGTGGAGGTATTTTTTTAAAAACGTCTTATAAGCTTCCTAACAACTTATTTTTTGAAAAAAATAAGATTTTTTCTAATTTTTTTACCAAACACTTTTAAACAGCTTATAAGCTCTTAAACATCTTATAAAATATTTTTAGGAGCTTATAAGCTTAGCAAAACAGGGTCTAAATATTAATCTCTCCGTGCTATTAAATTGTTTCTTAAAAATAAAAAAAATATCATATTATTTATAGGTTTCATCACATCCATATCTTTTTTCATCACATCCATATCTTTCTCTACTCTTTAAGGCAAGACGGTTAGCGGTGGTCGACAAGTTTAATAGATATTACTTACGAGAAACAAGATTCAAAAAAATGAAATGGTGAAAAATTAGCAAATGAAAATAGACACGATGAAAGTTGGAAGTTTGATGAATGAAATCCTAAATTAATTTGTATATATAGAATAACTATTAAATATAATATATTTATACGGGTCGGTTGTGGGTTGATTCCAATAAGACCCGTAGCCCGACCCAGAACCATTCGATTCTAGAAACTTAAACTCAATACCCGATTCAAAACCATTTAACTTACCGACACCCACCCCAAACGGGTCGATTCCGATTCTAAGACCCGGCAAACCCTTACCCATTGCCATCCATCCCTATGGATTTAGCAATATTGGACTTTCGTGCATGGCACGTGTTTTATTATATAATAATGTTTAATTTTGTTTTTAACATATTTATTAATTAGTGTTTGCAAGATTTGGTTTAGTTCACCAACTAAACTAATAAATATTATTTATGTCCCTTTAATTTGACTCTTAATGCGTACTATCCTCTCAAATATCGTCTATTAAAATATTAATCTCTCCGTGCTATTTTATTGTTTCTTGAAAACAAAAAATGTCATATTATTTAATTATCGGTTTTTATGAATACTCCAATACATAAATAATTATTTATATTTTATCAATCTTTTCCTTCAGTTTATAATTAATTTGTATAAAGAATAAATTTAAGGTTTTTTTTTCAAATAAAGACTACGTTACACCTCTTGAAGTCTGATGGGATCAGTTTGGCAAGCTTGGGTCAAACTCCCAATAAGTTTATTAAATAGTAAAAGGATAAAATGTATGGGTCAAAAGAGATTTATTGAGTCCACCGACCCAATACACGTCAAAAATAGAAGCTCGTGGTTAGCGAGCTCATCAACCCATCCGAACATGTCAGAGACAAATCAACGGAATATGTGGCGAGCTGAATGAGAGCCATTAGAAGCAGAATACTCTGAAATACTTTTCCTAAATAGATAAGGAAAGTATGTAAATTATTATTAGTAATGGAGCAATCAATGTAAATCTCGATCTAATTAAGGCGAGTTAAACTAGGAAGCGATTAGAGAGATATTCATATACAAAGTCTTGTAATAAGTCCGATTAAAGGGACAATTAACATCAATAAAGAAAACACTTTATACTCTCTTCCGGTAAATGACTGGTGTTCGATGGATTTTCCGGCGGTCAAGAGAGTTAGGCTTGGAAGGAGGTCGTGAGGGTGTAGATCCTACGCCATCCAATTCTATATCGAGTGCAACTTTACAATCCATGTACACATATGACATACTAGTATGAGTGTGTGTTTTATTTGTGAATAAATGGTAAAAGTTTATCGGTTATATTTGTTCGAATGTAATATAGAACAAACAGAAATATAAAACAACTATAAAAACCATTATATTGTGAATTCTACGACTCTATAAGTATTTTTTAGCTCTCGTGCAAATTTTGGTAAGGCTTCCGTAGAAGACTAAGTTGTTCTTAATTCAATGCCAACACTTTTGTAATGTATCACGAGTTCGCCAAAGAGCGATTTGGTCGATCCGCATATCGTATTTTATCATTTTTGTGGTCTACATAATTTCCTTTATTTTTCTATCAACACATAATCATTTATTTGTCAACTATATCTATTGAATAATTCAATAAAAACAATGTATGCTCATATTCTCTAGGTTTATCAAGGATTGCACATGCTAATAATGCCCTTTAAATTATTAGGTTTCATATTTATGGGATGAATCAATTATGTTAAAGTTTTGTCCCATTATTGGAGACCAAAGTAAACATATAATTATTCATAAGTCGGCAAAACAATTGTCACTAAAAAAAACAAAAAAAAAAAAAAAAAAAAAAAAGGGTAATAAATGTAATTAATGGCGTGGCTATCCAACTTTGGGTCGAAATTTCAAAAAAGTGGTACTACCTTAATAATTTGGATTAATTCCATTTTGTACCCTTGAAATTGATATTTTATACTTTGGCCTTAGTTAATTCTCTAATATAAATTTTTCACACTGATTCAAATTTTTAGCGCATTGTACTGTTACAAATTCGAGTCCCATAATTATCAAATACAACATATATTACAAGTCATGCCATAGTGAAAGTAATATATTTTGGTCATAACTCTCTCATGTGAATTTTTTCAATTCCAAAAAAAATAAAGCTAATTAATGATTTGTCTCGTAAAATATTTACTAAGCATGCAAAATCTTGAAGCATGTTGACCAGTTTGTAGTTTTTCACATTTACAACAATTTTCTATACGTATTGGGTAAATACAGTTGCATCCTAAGCCTAAGGTAGAAAAAAAATTTAATGTTTGAATAATTACAACCAGCCCACTCAATTATGAACTTTCTTACATGTCTACCATTATGATGTCAAATTCAAGATCATTTTTTACTTTCATGTTCTCTGGTTTGTACTCGTTTTGTACAAAAAAATCATTTTCTGATGCACCGCAATCTGATATTTACAAGTCAAGAGCCGCGTTTTATGATCATCTTGTTTCAAACTGTGGAGCTCGAATTGAATAAAACGAGTACAGATTGGAGAATATTTCACATAATATAGAAGATTTCACTAAATTTGGCACCGCAAGGATGGACGTGTAAAAAAACTCATAGTTGATGGTGTTTGTAATTACCCAAACATTAGGGATTTTTTCGTAATTTAACCTTACATCAGGGGTGGCTCACCGTAACTTACCGTGTAAATATTAAATTTTTTTTTTGAAAATAGCAATACAAGAAAACAAAAAGAAATATACGCCTATAAAAGAATTTGAAAATTACCAAAAAGCCCATAGAAATACAACACAAAGTTGTCAGTTGGGTTCGTTAATGTGGGTGTGGAAGCGGTAGTTGCGCCAAAATTCACGAACTCCCCAGATTTCATCATCTTAAACAAAACGACAAAATCCTCAACCCAAAACTTGATTATCATAACTTAATTATGTTTTAATTATTATTATTAGAAGAAAATACGAATTAATTAATTAAAATGTTATTTATAAATATAGGCATTTATTAATATTCCATTTTCACCACAAACACAAACAAAGCTTTAGTTTTAGTTTTTTGTTTTTCCCTCTTCCTCGCTTCCTCTTCGTCTCTCCTCCTTTCTCTCTCTACAAAGTTTACAGGAAATAGTAATACCACCTTTCTTCCTTTCTCTCTCTATCTCTCTCCATCTCTCTCTCTCTCCTCTTTCTCTCTCCTCTGTCCTTGCTTGACAGGAGAGGGAAAAAAGGAAAAAAGGAAAAAAGGAAAAATTCTTCAAAAAATTCAATTCGCAGAAGATTTTTCCGACCAATCTCCTCAATAATTTCAGTGGAATTTGCACACAGTTTGTGCCGAAGCTTCTCGATTGTATTTTTGAACGAAGATTACAGTATCGCCATGGCAATCGAAGGTAAGCTCGTGATACTAATTGTGCATAATGATTTCTTCCGCTGCGGAATCTGATTCCGGCAAAAATTACAAGTTTCCATGCAATTTTTCAATTTTCCACACTTAATTGTGTGTTTGTGTGTGTGTTTTGTAGAAGCTGTTTCAGAAAATTGCAAAATTGAAGAGACGCGGATTTCAAAAAGCTGCGCAATTGAGGAGAAACGAAATCATGAAACAGAGTCCTTCGGAAAGGAAGAGGGCGGAGCAAAAAAGCCCTCGGAAAATGACGAAATTGAGGAGCAATCTTCTCCGAGGGGTGTTTTAGAGGTGCCGATTTCGGGCTCCGGTTCCGATTCCGACAACAGTAGCAGCGTCGATAGGAGCGGCAGTTTCGGGAGCGAGAAATCCCCGACGGTGGGGGGAGAAATCGCGGCTGTATCGGCGGCGGTGGAATTGAGTTACGGCAATTTGAACTGGAAAAAAATGTTCGGTCAGGTGAAGAGGACTTCCACGGTTTGGAAAGTGTCCACTGTTTCGATGATCATGGGATACGGAAACGATCTGTCGAAGAAAACGACAACAGCAACCTCAAAGAAGAAGAAGAAGAAGTCGGAGAAGAACCGTGTCTCCGAGGAGGAAGACGCAATTGATGTCGATGATTTTGCTATGCCTAAACCATCTTGGAGGAATTTTACTTATGAAGAGCTTAAACTAGCCACCGATGATTTTAGCCCGGGTAAGTTAATTATCCTGATCTTTATTTTTTCTTATGTTCGATTCTATTTGATTCGATACGATTTTTACTGAATGAGAAGTCGAAACTCAACGAGAGTGAATTCTTGGTGTATTATCGAAGCCGACGCTAACTAGATTGAGGTGCATTATTTTTGTTGGCATTCAATTGAGTAATCCCATCACATGTGAAATTGCTGTCACACTTGACAAATTATTATGAGACTAATAAATGGTTGCAATTGCAACCTATGTGTTTTCACTTTATTAATTTGCAGAGACATGTCAACTGACAATGTTTATTTAATAATGGGGGTAGCAATTTATTGAGTTATAATGGTGGCTTCAATAAAATAGTTGGTAGGGTGTCAAGTTATGGAACTAGTAACTACCCCACTCGAAAATAAATCGAGAGCTAAACCCTTTGACTGTGTTCGATTTAAGATGGTGTATTAGTTTTAAGTCCGAGTCTTAAGTCACTTTTCTTATCGTGTTCCCAATGAATATTTCTCGAGCCATCAAATATCGATGGGACCTACAAAGTTGTTACCTGTTAACTGACACTTGGACTCGTATTTTTTGATTTAGATGTGTTGATTGGGAAAGGGGGCCACGCGGAAGTGTACAAAGGGTGCTTATCAGATGGACAAATTGTGGCTGTAAAGAAAATAATAAAAGTAAATAAGAATGACGAGGATAAAGTTGGTGACTTCTTGTCTGAACTAGGCATCCTTGCTCACATTGACCACCCTAATGCTGCTAAATTAATCGGCTTCAGTTCTGATGGTGGTTTGTACCTTGTCCTCCAATTTTCTCCGTATGGAAGCCTCGCCACCGTACTACACGGTGATGTTTTTATTTAATTTTTTTTTTAATGTACTGTAATAAAAGACAATGAAAATGAACCACAATTAGATGATGTGATGTTTTGTCTAATGAAGTGGAGTTCAGTATTTCAGGTTCTGTAGAAAGCTCTTTGGATTGGAAAATACGATACAAGGTGGCAATCGGAATAGCAGAGGGATTGCAATATCTGCATTGCAACTGCCAAAAGCGAATAATTCACAGAGATATAACTGCCTCAAACATATTACTGTCCGAAGATTATGAAGCTCAGGTTCCTCCTCTTCATATTTTTTCTCGAAGTAGAATCGTAAAAATATCATTTCATTTTTAAATTGTTTTTTTTTGGCAGGTATCGGATTTTGGACTAGCGAAATGGCTTCCAGATAAATGGGTTCAGCTCGTTGTTTCTCCAATTGAAGGCACATTTGGGTAAAAAAAAAATAGACCTGCAGATTCACTTGCCTATCGAGTTCGGTTTTTTACTTTGGTTCTTTGCTTATAAAAATCTGTATTACTACTTTTGTTTTGTTCTATGTTAAAAATCAGGTACATGGCTCCAGAATATTTCATGCATGGAATTGTTCACGAGAAAACTGATGTATTTGCGTTTGGTGTTCTACTGCTCGAGCTCATAACCGGGCGTCGAGCAGTTGATTCTTCTAGGCAAAGCCTTGTGATGTGGGTATGTAAATGATTTTGGTTTTCACTTTTCACCTCTCTGTTTCTGACCGATGGAAAAAATTGTGTATCTTAATTCACAACAACCGTTAAGTAATTCGGTTTCGCACTTTATGATTGCCAGGCAAAACCACTTCTTGAAAAGAACAGTGTGAAAGAAATAGCAGACCCTCGATTAGGAGAATCTTTCGACTTAGTAGAAATGAAACGGGCCATGTTTGCTGCTTCAACATGCATTCATCACTTGCCTACCATGCGGCCTAACATGAAACGGGTGCCAACTCCCTCTCTCTCTCTCACCCTCTCTCCCTCTCCCTCTCTCTCTCTCTCTCTCAAACCTTGCATTCGTGTTTTTCACAGGTGGTTCAGCTGCTAAAAGGCGAAAACGAAGGAGCGGAAATGAAGCAAAAGTCGATGGGAGGAAGAGCGTTACTTTTGGATGCTTGCGACTTGGATGACTACACTTCCACTACATACCTTAAAGATTTAAATCGACACATGGAATTAGTTATGGAATAAGACGTTAATTTATTAGCTCAAATCCGGATTAGTTAATCTCTGCAAATCGGCTGCCATGGATATATGCAAATATGTGTCTGTAAGAAAAATTGGAAGCATTGTGGTCATGCAATGTGTGCTGTTCTGGAGAAGGATTGATCCTACTTAATTTATTTTCCTTTTGTTTAATGAAAAATAGTTTTTAAAATTGGAAAAAAAAAATAGATTGTGATGTATATATGAAGTTGTAGTAACTGATTTATTGCTTTTTAGCTGTTTTTATAATTAGGGGACAAAATTGTCGTATGGATGACAATTTTATTTGATGAATGAAATCTTTCAATTAGATTTTACATCATTTATCATGTCTCTCAAACTAAAAATCTTACATCATTTATTTGATAACGTAGGATAAATTACGAGCACCCCTGATGTAACGTCAAATTAAAAATAAAGAGAAAAAAAAACCATCTTGTTTGAATAATTACAACCACACATCAACTAAAAAATTTAAGTGTCAAATTTGGTAGAATCTTCTAAGTTATATGGAATATTCTCCAGATTGTACCCAATTTATCACATTCTAGCTTCACAATTTGAAACGTGTCTCTTATCTTCTAAATATCAAATTGTGGTGCATCAGAAATTACAATTTTTGCCCAAAACGAGTACAAAATAGAGAACATTTCACAGAATGTAGAAGATTCTATAAAATTAAGCGCTATAAAAGCAAACGTGTAAAAAAATTCATAGAGTGAGTGATTGGAATTACCAAAATAGTAAGTGGTTTTTGGTGATTTGATCATTAACATAAGCATCAGCACAATGACTAGAAAAGAAAAAATAACAAGTGACACCGTTGCAACAAAAACCATTTGGAACATTTTGTAAGGATATTTCTATTGTTGTAAGATTCTTCTTTTTTTAGATATATGCTAAATTAAGCAAAATTGATTGATAACAGGAGCAGCTTCTCGGAAATGGAAAACGAGTCGAAAATTAATCCATAACCGAAAACCGCCCCCGTATATCATTCAGCATACATGTAAATATTAGACCTATTCAAGAGAATTAAAACAGAGAGCCTACTTACAGCATATTCGAGCTTCTTCTACCTAGAATCTAAACCCCAACCCTAAACCTAACCTTATCGGGTCATACGAAGGTCAGTTTTACAGCAAAATACCGCAAAAAAACGCAACAAAATATCGGTTAATCATATTAGTAGAAGACTAGCACTGCCTAAGTAGAGTAGGTAATTAGCTAAACGCTAAAAAGGTTACTTAATTTATTTCATATTCAATATGACTGATGAGGCCAAATGAAGAACTCCCCCGGCGACTGTGACGATGACGACGATGATGTCAACAGACTCGCCGGAGCACCGGTGGTGGCGGTGGCGGCGGGGTTGCTGCAGTATTGGTGGAAGAGGTTGTGATGGTAGAACGGCGCTGAGTTGTCGTACGGGACTCCGTACGGGATCATGGGCCCCGCTGCGAAATTAATGTTATTGCTCGTGTACGGAGATTGGAAGGGGGCGGGAGTGGTGGTGGTGGTGGTGGCGGCGGTGATGGTGAGGGGTAGCTTTTCTTCAACTTTGAGGCGTTTTGCGGAGTTGCCGCCAATTGGCAGAGCGCTATTGGCTATGGCTTCAACATCGTAACGGTTCATCTCGAAATTGGTGACAGCGTTTATTCCTCTGAACTTTATCGCAGCAATGTCGTACGCCTCTGCTGCTTCCTCCTCAGTTGCTGCAATAATAGAAGTATATAAGAATCGGTTTAACTGTTAGTTATTTATCGAAAATTACCATCTAGTTTTTTTTTTTTTTTTTAGAGACGATTTAAAACTCTGTTACGGGTGAGAAAGAAGACGAGTGGCGGGATTTGGACGTAATCTTGGACTAACAATCAAGGTCAATTCTTGTAGAAGTTAATGGCCAATTCAACTCAAGTATAGAAACATATATATGTATGTGTGTGTGTGTATATATATATATAGGCTACTAAACATACCAAATGTTCCAAGGTAAAGATCTTTATTCCCGGCAACACGACCAATCCTTGCTTGCCATCGACCTTGTTGATGATGCCTGCATAAATTCACATTTTATTAGTAAAAAAAATTATATAAAAAAAAAACCCGAGTGCAGACTCATTGACCAATTACGGAAAAATGATATTATTTAAAAAATAAGTAGTTATAAATAGGTTAGGGGGTTCGAACCTTGTAACACCCCTATAAATCGAGGCTCCCCTTGAGAAACCGCTACTTTTCCTAAACAAGGTATATATACAAAATTGCGATGAGAAAAAAATACTTCACGGCTAGTTATAGTGTCGTTTCACTATTGTTTCTATGCAATTTGAACAGAAATCAAAGAATTATTAGCAAAAAAATCGAACCTTCTAATTGATGCAATGAACTCTTGTTTAGTCATATTCTGCATCTCATCCACTTCTTTCGAGTAACTGGACATCTGAGAGCACAATTTTTTTAATTCGAATTAATAACAAAAAATAATTAAGAAATGGGAGAAAAATAACGGCATATTTACCGGAAAGTTGGTGGTAGCGGTCGAACCCCAGTACTTGAGAGCAGCTAAATCGTACGCATGTGCAGCCCTTTCTTCCTTGTCATACCCACCTTCATACACCACATACTACAACATTAATAAATTTCGCCATAGATATATAAATTAAATACAACTAATATATAATAAATATTACTTACCTAAGTACACTGCAGCATATAATTCCCGTTTTCAGCATTATATATGCAAGAAAGAATAGAATCCATTAGAACCCGAGAAACAAAATCGAACATAAACAACGAGCTATAAGACTAAAATCCATTACTAGTGCATATATGAGAAACTCCTTAAACAAATTTTATTTCGAATTTTGTAGTTATTATTTTAAGAAATTCAAAATACAATAACCGTCGTTGTCGATTGCGATCAATGCATCATTTAATACAAATCTTGTTGCTTCAGTTAATAATGGGAGGAATAGGATTGATTCAAACTGGAACTTCTATTTAAGGAAAAATAAGTGAATTCAAAAGTATCCCTATTTAAATTCAAAATATTACATATAAATAAATAAAATAAATAAACAGAAAAAGAGTGAAATTCCAGAAAATAAGGTGGGCAGCAGTTCATTTAAGTTTTCATGTGAGTGGGTTGGTCAAACACCCCTATTTCAGAGTCATTGTCCCATAAAATAAGGCAACAAGAAATAAATTAAATTAAATTAAATTAAATTAATTGAAATAAAAAAAAAATAAAGGGAAAAAGCTAAAGCAAATCTGATAAAATTTCAGAATTTCAGGCACTAGTGTTCAGACTAGCTGATGTAATGTGTGTGGTCATTACATGCTATAACAAGAAACAAAGTGGATCAACAATTTCAATTACTCTTTGGATAATAATTTCCTTCTATATGAACATGTATCTATATCTATATCTATATACACTACTATTTATTCCATTCTACACCCGATGACATCATCGGGTTATTTCTATGTTATACCCCGGTGAAGGTGTATTTTTACCATTGAAACACACCGATGTTGGTGTGTGTGTATAAATTATACACTACTATTCATTTCATTCTACACCCGGTGATTTTTACCGTGGATCTACACACACAAGTGTTGGTGTGTGTGTGTTATTGTGCTTAAAAATAGTAACGATCAGTCCGGTGTATTTCACCCGATGTAGTATGGTATAAACCGACTTCATCTATTAACACACATCCACATGTATACGTGTGTGATTGTGTGCAAAATACCACCTAGTATAATTCACTAGTGTAGCATATATATATATATATATATATATATATATATATATATATATATATATATATATATATAATGGATAAATGTGGCGGCCCATGACATTAAATTGAAGAAAGATTGAAAGAAAATTTAGAGAAGAAGATATGATATGTACTTAAAATATGTACAAATATCCATCCAGTCAAATCAATCTATCCATCATCATAAAGTATCTGATTGAAAGGAATTTGCTAAAGCAAATATATATATTTATTTAAATTAAATTGATTATTCAATTTAATCCAGAGAAGAAAGTACAACCTCACAAAGCATGAAAATAAAAGGAAAGAGTTGTACCTTGACGGCCTTTTCTTGCTTGGCCCTCTCTTCTACAGCTGTTATCCCATAGATGCGCTTCATATCTCCCTGTCCATCTGTGCCTGCAATGCATCAATTCAACAACATCACCATATTAGAATTAAATTAAAATTTAAATTTAAAATTTAAATTAAAACCCATTTTATTTTAATGCTAAAAAATCATGAAAAAATGGATTTTTTTTTTTTGGTTTACCTAGTGACGCCTCTGTAAATTGAAGTTCTTTGACCAAACGTGTCACTAATTTTCTTGCCGCTCTGCCTATCAGCAGCAACAATGGCGGTGGTTTTGTTGTTGTTACCGTTTACTTCAACACACAAACTATTGTTATTGTTATTATTAGCAGTATTATTATTATTATTATCGGTAATGGGGTAACAATGGGAGTAGGGCACCAACTCGGCGGCGGACTCAACCGGCGACCGAGTCTGGGCGGCGAACGCCGAGTCGTCCACCTCTGAGCCCGAGTTGGCCGAGAACGCTTGGAACCCAACCACGGTCTTCAGATCTTGCTGCTCGCCGTTGCCGAAGTAGGCGGCGCCGCCTCCTCCGGACGCGATTCCCTGGTGTTGGTGGTGGTGGTCGTAAATGTGAGTCAAGGACGAGTCCTGAGTCTCAGTCGAGTCGGCGAAAAAATCCTCCAGCTTCGGCGGCGCGTGCATGTACGTGTTGAAAATAATGGACGCGTCGTCGTTGTGCTCCTTCGCTTGGTGGTGGTGGTGGTTCTCTGCTTCTGCGTACATCGCTTCTTCAGCTTTCTGGTTTGGCCAACCTGCACCAAAAAAAAAAAATATAAACACACTCGTGTATATATATATATATATATATATATGTGTATATATATATATATATGTGTATATATATATATATATATGTATATATTGAATTGAGAAAAGCCAAAAAGTAACTGAATATGTTGATTTTGAAGCAAAAAAAAAAAAAAAAACCAGGGGGTCCATTTTTGTTTGTCCTTTTCCTCCATTGATTTCAAACATGTTTTGCTCAGCAAAACAAACGGAGCAATCGAGGTTTCTTTGCCATTCAAAAGATTCCATAAACCCTCCAAAAAAGCTGATGCATATATACATGTATGTATGTGTATATACACACATAGAATGTGTGAAAAAGTGTGTGTGTTTAATTTTATTATTACCGGTAGTGGCATAGAAGTTATCGGCGAAGGAGTAGTAATGGTGGGCGGCGGCCTGCTCGTGAGTCTGTGAAGAAGACGAAGGCGAAGAGTTCAGCATCTCCATTGAAGAGAGAGAAAACGATAGCCAGTTGTTTTCCGGCGCCATTGAACACAGTATACAGAGATAATTAATTAATTAATTAATTAATCAATTAATTAAACCCCCAAATAGTACTTCTGCAAATCTTCAACCAAAAATCAAAACCTAATCCTGCAAAATTAAAATAAAATTAAAAATTAAAACCGAGAATCAGGATCATGAGTAGATCAATTAAATCAGAAGCTGATTAAATCAAAATAAAAAAGAAGAAGAAATTAATGCACCTCATTATCAAGTAAATGTGCAGTAGAATCCATTTAATTTAAGAAATTTGGGGGTTTTGAATGAAGGATGAATTCTCTGACAATGAAGGGTATTATTGGAATAAGAATTTTGAAGTGTGAAGAAGAAGAAGAAGAAGAGAGAGCACATGCAAAAGATTGATGAAGCAGGGGAAATTTACTCGAAGGAAGAAACAGCTAGCGAAACAGCAATCGCAAGCAAGTAAAAAGGAATGGTGAGAAGAGAGGTAAAATGGGGTTGAGTAAACAGTAGAGAGAGAAAGTAGATGACAGTAGAGAGAGAAAGTATAGAGAGAGAGAGAGAGAGAAGGGTGTTGCAGCTGCAGGTGGAGGAATATAATGGGGAGATAAAGGCGGTTCAAATCTGCCATTCGGCGTCAAACCAGAGGGGGAACTATAACATTTCTTTTTTTCTTTTTCTTTTTCTTTTTTTTGTGTTTTTTATTTTTTTATTTAGTTTCCGTTGGGTGAAAATTAGAAGGAAATTGAATTTGAAGAGGTGGCTCGATAAAAGTTTGAGCTCGAAATGTTTATAAGTTCATGAGCTGACTCGCGAGTTTTTTTTAATTAATTATCAATATATATTAATAGGGTAAATAACGGGGCTCTCCAGGTGGGGTTAAAATACGAAAGAGAATACTTTCATGTTTGGGTAAACAACCACCCTTCAGCAGTGAATCTCAATTTTACAAGTTCACTCTTATGGTGTTAAATTCAATTGAATTTTATATATTCTCTGGTTTGTACTCGATTTGTGCAAAAGTGCAGTTTCTGATGCATCACAATCAGATATTTACAAGCCAAGAGACACATTTTATAATCATCTTGTTTCCAAATGTGGAGCTTGAATAGGTTAAAATGTGTACAAAGTGAAGAATATTTCACATAATCTAGAAGATTTCAACACATAAATGATGGACGTGTAAGAAGATCCATAGTTGAGGGGTGATTGTATTACCCAAATATAAGGGGGTTTTTCGTAATTTGACATTACCCGAGGGATGGCCGTGATTTAGCCTAAATAATATATATGTATATATACACTAATATAAATATATATAAATTATAAAATTAAATATTTGTTCATTTTTAGATATACTATATAACATTAATATTTTCTTTTTTTTCTTTTTTTTTTAATTTAGTTTCAGTAAGGGGTAAAAATTAGAATGAAAAAGAACTTAGTGAGGTAGCTCGATAAAAGTTTGAGCTCGAAATGTTTATAACTTCATGACCTGACTCGTGAGCTTTATTAATTAATTATCAATATATATTAATAGGGCAAATTACAGGGCCCGAAGTAAGGATAAATTACGAGGAAAAAAAAAACCACTCATGTTTGTCTAATTACAACCACCTATCGGATATTAATCTTCTTACGCGTTCGCCCTTATGGTGTCAAATTTAATATTATCTTTTAGATTATGTGGAATGTTTTCTAGTTTGCACTCGTTTTGCGCAAAAAATGCAGTTTATGATGCACTGCAATATTAACAAGCCAATAGACACGTCTAAGATCATCTTGTTTCAAAATGTGGAGCTCGAATGGGGTAAAACGGGTACGAATTACACATAATTTAAAAATTCCACTAAATTTGACACCGCAATGGTGGACGCGTAGGAAGATTCATAGTTGAGGAGTGGCGCAATTACCCAAACGTGAGGGGTTTTCGTAATTTAACCTTATCTGATAGGTTTAACCTAAATAATATATATGTGTATGTACACTAATATAAATATACAAAAGTTATAAAATTAAATATTTGTTCATTTTTAGTTATACCATATAATATAACACTACAAAAAATTAAATATTTGTTCATTTTTAGTTATACCATATAATATAACACTACAAAAAAATATAATATTTGGGGGGGGTGGGTTGGGGGTCGGCCTGATCAGAAGGAAATTGTCTGCAGCAAAGGGTCGCGAAAGATACGGGCTGCTGGGTTGGTGCGCTTTGTCTTTGGGGCAATATTTATTATTTACATTTTATTATTATTTATTTATTTAATTAAATGCATGTTACTACTTACTACCAACTATTTTACTATTTACAATGTTTGGAATATGCTTGGTTTGGGTTTAGAAATTAATTATTCATCGTCTGATCATAAAATTCAAAAATGAAATATATGTACACTAGAACTTCGATAAATTAATACCCGATAAATTAATAACCTTAGTTAAATAATAAATTTTTCCGGTCCCGACTTGGGGACAACGTGCTAAATTATAATTCGCTTAATTTATAAGATAATACACATTCGAAAATTTTGAGAAGCCCCATATAATATATAAATTAATAATGTATAAAAATAATTCTTAAATTACATGGTACAGTACATATTTTGTAGATCTATGAAAGTTTAATAATATATAATTTAATTGTCGCTTGTTTCTTGTTAAAGTTCACATTACCATCATTCTCGTCCCTCACTCTTCTTAACATGGTTAGAACTTTCGGTATAGTTTTCTCATAACTCAACATAAAATCATTCTGCACCATTGCTGCTTTAAGAGCTTTCGCTCTTGAAACGGGCTCTATAGTGCATTGAACTAATGGTACAATGAATAATATACACGTAAAAAAAAATAAAAAAAAATGTATTTATTGAAAATAATAATAAAAGTAATTTCATAAATTAATAAGTTATTAATTGATGTATAAATTAATAATTATTAATTTATCGATAAGTTAATATTTCGCTAAATTAATGAAATTTTGATGGTCCCAACTGTATTAATTTATAGAGGTTTAACTGTATATATGTATAGGGCATGTCAACTGTTGCATGTAGGGTAAAAATCATACGAGTTCGAATCCACTTATCAAAGATTTTTAGGTCGATTTTTTCACATAATAATTAGTCACATTTCACGTATTATTTGCAAGTTATTATATGATTTGCGGTGTTACCCAATACACACATCGAGTGGATGTTGATTTCTTTCTTACTTCTCAGTAAAAATTAAAATAAAAAACAAAGTAGGAAATAAAAAAATCCATTCTCATGTGATCGTGCAAATATGCACGTGATCAAGTTTTCTTCGACTGTTATCTCTTTTGACCGCTGACGGTAAGATCTTCCAAGAAGAGTTCTCCGTCGGATTGACTTCGGGTTTTGGGAGGTATTTACCGAGAGAAAACGCATATCTATAGCGAATTCTCGTGTAAGTTGAATGATTTTGATGGAACTACGTCTACCGGAATAATACACATGGGATTTTTAAGTCTTGTCACGTTTAGGACTTTTTATTCCTTATTTACAAAACATGTTCCACAAGTTTCGGAATCTCTCGGATGTGATCTCGGTTTTCGAAAAAGACAATATCCAGGGTTGCTCGATTGAACTAAGCTTTGATCCCGGAAGCAAGATTAGTTCGGCCCATAAACTCCAGCCCGGTACGCGAAATCGACTCCATCATATATAGTGCATATAATTTTTTGGGTAAATTCCACTTTCCCCCTTTTTACTTTGGCTCCTTATTACTTTACCCCCTTCTACTCTCGATTGCATCGATTTACCCATGTACTTGAAAAATTGTCTCAATGTGGCCCTGGTTGTTTGTTAGTTGTCAGACATTTGACCTTAATACCGTTTTATCTAAGCTCTGAAATTACACCTCCCCCAATTTAAATAATTATTAAAACAACAACAAAAAATAAAATAATAAAAAATTCAAGACAACAAGAAAACATAGTCCACGACGCTAGCCACAATTTATTTTTAATTCTTTTTATTTTTTTTAATAATTATTTAAACTGGGAGGGGTAACTTTTGTTTTGTAATGTTCGAACTAAGATCAAACGGTGTTAAGGTCAAATGTCTGAAAACTAAAGACGAGGGCTACATTGAGAAAAAAAATTCAAATTCAAGAGGGCAAATCGACGCAATCGAGAGTATGAGTGTGAAAAGTGGAATTTACGCTTAATTTTTACAAGTGTATGTGCGGGTGGGGGTTAATATAAATATGCTAATTAATGCATGGTATATGAGTAATTACGTCATTTAGTACCCAACTAAGGTTGCAGTTGCACACATATATGACGAGACAAATGGGCGAGTAAACAGGAGAAGTATGAGCCGGTGATTAGGGCTTGTTTGGTTCTCATCAATTAATTAATAAAATAAAATAAAATTGTGAGGGCATACCCAGGAATTAAGGTGGTCCTATATATATATATATATATATGTATGATGCCACATCGAGACTACCGTAGCCTATAGTAGACCCTCACCCCCAACATTTTACCTATCTTGTCTCCTTGTACGTATATATGTTTCCATTGTGAGTGTGTGTATGTATTATGTATATATGTGTATATCTGTATTTTGAAAATTAAATTCATTTCAATTATTATTTTAAATAACTTTAGTGTAGATCGGATTTGAATAATAGTAATTAATAATAATATTAACATTTCATGTACTTGTTCTATTCCAATCGATGTAGCACGGACACAAAAACAGTGGTACAGGAAAAAGGACATGGGGAAACAACATATACTAATATTGGGGATACGGGAGCTTAGAAAAAACGTGTTAATATTAATATTATAGGGGTATATTTATAAATATGTTATTTAAACATATATAAGTTTTTTTTTTAAATATAATTTTTTTTTTATATATTTTCATACGAACATATTCAAAATAAATTTTGCAATCAACTATTTGTTTAAAATTGATCATTAAATCGTGTAAAATAATTAGGGAAGCGATAAAAGTATTTGAAAATTTGTTATTCAAACATGTAATAACGTTTTAGAAATTACAAAATAACCCGTGAAATATCCAGCAGGTGTCCTCTAGCATCCGACACCAAACGTGTCCAAAACATGAGTCGAGTCGCTTCGGGATTGGGTTCAGGACCAACCCGCCCGGACCAAGTTGCACCTTTTCCCTTCATTTGGATCCGAGCCAAACCCATAGGATTATTAAAGTTGCTAAAATTGGATTTCATTAGAGTGAGGAAAAAATCCGAAAAAACGATTATTTTTAAGTTATTATTTAAAATAATTTTAGTGTGGATCTGATTTAAAATTTATTAACTTGTAATAATTTTAACTAACATTTCACTTTTTTATGTACTCGCTCGATTGTCATCTATGTAGCACGGATACGAAAAATAGAGAAACGGATAAGGGGAAACATCGTATCCCAAAAATGAGGATACGGGAGCTAAGGAAAAACGTGTAAATATTAAAATTATAAGTGTATATTTATATATATACTATATAAACATATACATAGGCTTTTATTTATATATAAATTATTTTTATATATTATCATACAAAGATATTCAGAATAAATTTTATTATTCACTATCAATTTACAATTGATCATTAAATCGTGTAAACAATTAGGAAAGTGACAAAAATATTTTTTAAAATCTGTTATTTACTCATAAGG